GCTGTGAGTGTCAGGGGTGCAGTGTGTGTGTGAGTGAGGGTGCTATGAGTGTTAGGGGTGCAGTGTGTGTGGGTGTGTGAGTGAGGGTGCTGTGAGTGTTAAGAGTGCAGTGTCTGTGTGTGCTGTGAGTGTCAGGGGTGCAGTGTGTGTGCTGTGAGTGTCAGGGGTGCAGTGTGTGTGAGTGAGTGAGGGTGCTGTGAGTGTCAGGAGTGCAGTGTATGTGTGAGTGAGTGAGGGGGCTGTGAGTGTCAGGGGTGCAGTGTGTGAGTGAGGGTGCTGTGAGTGTCAGGGGTGCAGTGTGTGTGTGAGTGAGTGAGAGTGCTGTGAGTGTCAGGGGTGCAGTGTGTGTGTGTGAGTGAGAGTGCTGTGAGTGTCAGGGGTGCAGTGTGTGTGTGTGAGTGAGTGTGCTGTGAGTGTCAGGGGTGCAGTGTGTGTGTGTGCTGTGAGTTTGCTGTGAGTGTCAGGGGTGCAGTGTGTGTGTGTGTGCTGTGAGTGTCATGGGTGCAGGGTGTGTGAGTAAGTGAGGCTGCTTTTACTTGAGTTATTACACCCTCCCCTGGCGGTCTCTTCTCACACTCACCTGTGCTCTTCTCATCCCCCCCTCCACCACTCCCCCCATGTGTTCTTCTCACCTCCCCCTCTCTGTGTTCTTATCATCTCCCCTTCTCCTCACCCCCCTCCCTGTGTTCTTCTTACCCTCTCTCCTCCCTGTGTCCTCCTCACCTCCCCCCCTCCAAGTGTTCTCCTCACCACCAGCCCTCCCTTTTTTTCTTACTCTCCCCTCCTTCTTCTTACTCCCCCCTTCTTCTTCTTACTCCCCCTTCTTCTTTCTTTTCTTTTTTTACTCCCCCTTTCTTCTTCTTACTCCCCCTTCTTCTTCTACTCCCTTCTTCTTCTTCTTACTCCTAATCTTCTTCTTCTTACTCCCTTCTTCTTCCTACTCCACCCTTTCTTCTTCTTTTCCTCCCTTCTCTTTTCTTTCTCTCTTTCTTTCTTACTTCCCCTTCTTCTTCTTCTTCTTACTCCCCTTCTTCTTCTTCTTCTTACTCCCCTTCTTCTTCTTTTTTACTCCTCCCTTCTTCTTACTCCCTTCTTCTTCTTCTTCTTCTGGCCCCTCTTCTTCTTACTCCCTTCTTCTTTTTTTTCTTCTTACTCCCCTTCTTCTTACTTCCCTTCTTTTCTTCTTTCTTCTTACTCCCTTTCTTCTTCTTTTCTTCTTTTCTTACTCCCCTTTTCTTCTTCTTTTTACTCCCCTTCTTCTTCTTACTCCCCTTCTTCTTTCTTTTTTTTACCCCTTCTTTTCTCCTTTTTACTTCCCCTTCTTCTACTCCCCTTCTTCTTCTTCTTACTCCCCTCTTCTTTCTTCTTCTTACTCTTCTTTCTTTTACTCCCTTCTTCTTTCTACTAACTCCCCACACCTGTTCTTCTTACTCCCCCCCTGTTGTGTTACACCCCCCCTCACCTCCCCTTCCCTGTAGCGTGACCAAGCTCCTCTCCGGTCCATGGTACCCGGCCGGAGTGATAGGAAGGTGCACACTCAGTGTGCACTTCCTGTCAGTCCGGCCGGGTACAGGAAACAGAAACTCCACGCGGTACAGGAGTTTCTGTTTCCTGTACCCGGCTGGACTGACAGGAAGTTCTTTACAGAGCGCTCAGGCAGCTGCAGCATTAGGACCGGCCCTGCAGCGGCCGGTTTTAAAATGATTTATGGAGGCCTGGGGGGCAATTGCCACCCTGCCCCCTGGCCCAGCCCATCCTGGCAATGCTCCAAATCTCGCGAGACGAACCCGGGGGAGCTGTAAGTTAGAGCTCCTCCGGGTTCCTCTCCTGGCTCCCTCACTCTTTCCCCGGATAGTGCCGGCCCTGCAAAGACCGGCATGGGAGATCCTGTGATCTTCCCTGCTGGCCTCGGCCCATGGCCACCACGGCCCACTGGGCATTTGCCCGGTGTGCCCGATGGCCAGTCCGGGCCTGGTCGCCAAGCAGCTTGGTAAGAAGGTGACAACAAAAATAAATGAATAAGAATGGTGCAAATAATTGCTTAATAATAGGTGTAACCATAGAATATAAAAAATTACAGTTAACATTAGGTTGAAAAGGGACTCAAATTCATTGAGTTAGGGTGTTGATGCAAAAGAAGTAAAAAAAAAAATTCTCCTTTGATCGACAATCCACATACAGGTTAAGCAAATATGTTGTGTTTCGAAAAAACACCCATTTAACCTAAACCATATTTTTTTTAGCTCCTTTTTCAATCTTTCCCGTACCCCCAACATTGGTATCCAAAGAAGCAGGATGCTGGTGGGAAGGAGGCAAATGGGGTGAGCCAGTCAAGTGATCACATCACGGGCTCCTGTTGAGAAGGGAAAATGTGGTATTATCCTTGATGCAGATGTAATTATTGCAGAATGAGACAAATGATCTCAGTTTCCCGAAGCTGTATGTGCACAGGCCTATATGTCTTTCATTGCTCCATCTTTCATTGTATTATGCAGCCTGGGCAGCTGTTTGTTTTGTTTATTTTAAATTCACAAAATAATTTCTGCAACTGCACCACATACAAAAAGTAGCAAATGCATATAAATATAAACAGGTCATATTTAGCACAGTAAGTTTTTTCCAAATAACTATGGAGGATGGAGGAGGGTGCAAATTTAAGACAGGATATCATCAGGCTTAATTGGTATGTACATAATGCCAATACTTTCTTCAAGTGAACTAATTCATACCTTTTTTTAAAGCAGCTGGGTCAACTTGAGATTGAGAGGATGAGGTGATGTCTTTATTTTAGACTTTTGTTTTTGTGGCTGCTAATAACATTTAATTTTCTACTATGCGCAATGACAACTACCATAATTGGTTGTCACATGGAAGTATAAGATGCAAGGTTGTGTCTTGTCACATATTCCAATTATCGCTGTGTCTATAAGCAATTTGCTTTGAATTACAAAGTGTTAATTTTTCCGTACTTCTTGTTCATTGACAACTTATCATGTGTTTTTTGTGGATGTTATATATTAATAAATGCTGACAGTGTTACTTATTGTTGTAAGCAGCGCTCGAGTCCTGCAGAAATGCGCGAGAGTGGTGATCCTGCACTTTTTCCAGAGCAGGAACGCCGTTCCCATTAGTAGTCCTGCAGGACCTGCTCTTTGACTGTGGACCCCCTGCTACAAGCACACTGCACACAGGGGCCCAGCACAATCACTACAAGCACTACATAAACTATATATACTCTGCACTCACTACAAACACACTACATTGATAGACACACTCTGCACTCACTACACACACTACATTAACTTTACACACTCTGCACTCACTACATTCACTTTACACACACTCACTACACACACTACATTCACTTTACACACTCTGCACTCACTACACACACTACATTAACTTTACACACACTCACTACATTCACTATACACACTCAGCACTTACTACAAACACACTACATTCACTATACACACTCTGCATTCACTACAAACACTACATTAATCATACACTCATTGCACTCACTACAAACACACTACATTCATTATACACACTGCATTCACTACAAACACACTACATTCATTATACACACACTGCACTCACTACAAACACACTACATCCATTATACACACACTGCACTCACTACAAACACACTACATCCATTATACACACACTGCACTCACTACAAACACACTACATTCACTATACACACTCTGCATTCACTACAAACACTACATTAATCATACACACACTGCACTCACTACAAACACACTACATTCATTATACACACACTGCACTCACTACAAACACACTACATTCATTATACACACACTGCACTCACTACAAACACACTACATCCATTATACACACACTGCACTCACTACAAACACACTACATTCATTATACACACACTGCACTCACTACAAACACACTACATCCATTATACACACACTGCACTCACTACAAACACACTACATTCATTATACACACACTGCACTCACTACAAACACACTACATTCATTATACACACACTGCACTGCACTATATTTATTTGTTTATTGCATGTAATATTTGGAGATGTCTTTGTAAACTGGCACTTAACAATAAATGTTGCACTGTATTTTCTGAGAAATATATATGCATAGATACATATAGTTTTTTTTTGGGGGAGGTGTGGGGGGATCTTAAGTGAATTCCAACACTTTTTTTTCCCCAGGACTTGACCCCTGGTTGAAAGGCTTAATAGTGTTCTTGACATAGTGTTAAATTGTTACTCCAGCAACCTGGACCTCTTCAGTGTTTTAAAGCAGGCATGGTGCAAGGACCTGGTCCCTGTATGTGCAGCATTTCAACATGAAGATATTTTGTATTGCTAGTTTACCTCCATATAGCTTCCCGGAGTGGCTGTTCATTCAGAGTGCTCAGCTGATGCCAATGACCGACAAAACTGGTATCCAGCATCCGCAGCTCTACAAAAGCCAGATGTCATTCAGCTCACCTTAGAGGAAACTCAACACCCTACGGAACCCAGGAAAGAGTATTGCCGTAGCAGTGTCAGGTTACTCCAAGTACCATAACCACTAAGGTGGGAAACATTGGTTATGATCAGACTTTTTAATGAGCACCAACTAAGAATTTTCATAAGAACATTTTAACCTTAAATATGTTTCATAACAAAAAAATTAAAAATCACT